CAAGTTTCTGAATCGAAAATATAATTTGTCCTTCCGACGTCATAACTTAGGTATAATACGTTGTGAGTTGTGACGTCGCAAGGAGAATACACACTCTAAAGGAGTGCTTATCGGCCTCGTTTTGGGTAATCGCCGCCATATTGATTTTCAACTGTTTCCAACCACTGCTGACGTCATAACTAAGTCGCCAGCTGTTTGCGCCAGCAGTTTCATAAATTTATAATTTGACATGAAAAATATTTTATTTTGATTTTGATTAACCATTATAGCGCCTAAAGGTACCCTATCCTATGATGGAACCAATAAACATCAAGGTCAAAAGTGCGATCTGAGCGCGATATCTGGCTAGCTTTCGTCATTCCGCTTATTTACACGTTTTCAGCATGTATGATTTTGGAGCCCTAGGAGAATTACGCGGCGTTTTTTTTACATTTCCTAATGTAAGTATTAATAACTATTAGATAATTTATTCTATACTATTTAATTGTTTTTAGTGTTTTCTCATATTAATATAAAAACATATTCCTATTCGAGCATAAATCGATTGTTTGTTTATGTATATTCTTGTAAACATTACTGTCCCATATGGGCCCGGGCAGTAGTAGCTAACATTTTTAGCTGTACATTTTGTTTTAATGGAATTAACCATCAGGAAGCTTTGGCATATTATATATTGAGCCTGTAGTGTATAAGAATTACGAAATAACATCGTTTTGTATATTTTGGTAGTTGTTTATTCTATCGTGACGCTGCTGACTAAGACTTGGAATTTATACGTTTTTGTTATCATTGTCGGGTGGTGAGGGTTGCTTTTGTGATTCATTTGTAAGACGAGTGAATAAAGGAATAAGTCATATGTGCATTGGTGTTTTATTTATGCATAACGAAGATCAAACATTACAAAGTGGCGACGAGGATAAATAATTAGGATTTAGGATACCTGCTTAAGGTAAGAATAGTATATATTGTGTATTTAGGTGGAAAAGTGACACATTCTCGGCCGACGGTGTAAGTTGACGGGCGAGGCGTAGCCGAGGCCGGCTAACACCGAAGGCCGAGAATGTGCTTTTCCACTGAAATACACATACTATTTTTTCTGAGATCGGTTAAATATCTGTTAGAGGTTTGTATTTTTGTTCCAATTATTCAGCAGTACGAGAATCACTTTCCCGACCTAGGCCGGAAAAGTGATTCTCGTATTGTTATTCATTGATTCCTTAGCAACTATTGAAACATAATTAAAATACCAGAATATTGGGTTTTGCGACCTTTCAACCGGTCAAAAATGCTGACATTTCTTGTCAATCTCAGAAAAAAGTATTTTCATAATATTATTTTGAATTGAAATAAATTAATTTATAAAAAAGAGCATAACGGATAACAGATGCTTGGGCAATCAGGCAATATTAACCCGTGTGATCAACAGGAATCTCTTTACAGTGTTGAATTAGGTTGTTTGAGACAAGTTTTCAAAAATGGGGAAAAACCCCTCATCAATCCTGGGACCCAATAAAATAAATAAATAAATACTTGACTTTTATTTTTTTTAAAAAAAAAAACAGACTTTATATTGGAACGAAATAAGGGCAATAAGGATAAACTAATTCAAACTGATGGGGTATTGGCCTGTTTGCGCATCGTTACAATGAACAGAAATTAATAGTGGTTTTTCCACAGGGCTTTTTGACCCACAATGGCTAACTTAATAGCCATACAACCCTTTGAGTGTGAGGGCGAGCCAGCATCTGTTGGTATTCTTTGGGAAAAATGGTTGCGATCCTTTGAAATATACCTGGAAGCAGCAAGTATAAATGAAGCTGCGAAAAAGAGAGCAACACTCTTACACAGCGGTGGTAGCTCACTCCAGGAAATTTATTACAATCTTCCCGGAGCTCATGCAGCTCCAAATGATAACGAGGGCAGTAGGGTCGATATGGTGGTTACTCATCACCCCCCACTCCTATGACGTCACGTTCCTGACCTTGGCCTTGGCCTTGAAAAATGACCTAGTAATGTTCTGACGTCACACGACCTTGGCCTTGAGTTGCTATGTGACCTTGAGTGTGCGCAGCCTTGAGTTGGCGCTTGACCCTGATTTGTTTAGATATATTGGAGTGATTGTATTTCTTTTGAATATTTATTATTGCAAATGGAAATGATGTCAGAGTTATTTTTCACTAATTTTGAACCTCTCTATCGATTGAATTCTGATTTCAAAATATTTAAACCTCAATTGCTCGTTAACCGTTGAGCAAATTGCATTGAAATTTTTAGCGTTTGTGGCTCTTAATAAGCTCCAAAACCCTGTAGTTTTTAGTATTCCCACGTTTATACTTTTTGAGCAAATTGGGTTTGAAGTTTTAGACAAAATCTGGACTAAAAATCAACTTGGAGGCTAAATTAGTCAAAAACTTTCTGAGCTATTAAACTCAATTTTATACAGATTTATAGAGAATTTATTGCTTTTTCCAATGATATATAATTTATTTCAATTTGCTCAAAATTTACCAAAGATATCGGCAATTGCTCATGACCATATCAAAATTTGAAAATTTTCCACACTGAAAAAATGCTAATCTTGAATCAAAGTAGTCAACTCTTTTCATAAGGAATTATTAGCGACAAGAGAAAATAGTTTCTCATAAAAGAATATCCATTGTTTGGAGAAAAATGTTCTGAGTTCAAGTAAAATAGTTCTCTTAAAAAAATCCAAAAATTCTCTTGACTGTTCCTTTCTTCAATCAAGCTCAATTTATGTTCTCTCAAGAGCTATGGAAATTATAGATATGGAAGTTATTCCTTTGAAAGACATTACATACATTTATTCCGACCAGAAGCAAAATACAACGCGATGGGAATTATGGGAAAAAAGTGCAGGTGAACGATTCAAAAACTATCCAATATAAGTATATCGAACTTCACCAGAAATTATAAGTTGTCTGTTTTTCATCAACCAGAAAAATGAAATGTGCCTAGTTAATTTTTTGGTGTTGGACACTCGATGCTATTTGCAAATTTCACAATCGATTCTTTGTAGCCTATAGCGAAGTGGGAAGAAGATGAAATAAGAAGAAATAAGAAAATTATTTACTTCCCACACTTTACTATTTAGGTACAGAATTGTCAATGGCACCAAAGTGTCCTCAAAACAATTGACACTGCTATACAGATAACGTGTAACTTCTGTAATAACTCGAGACGATTTGGGGTTCTTAGGCCTTCAGTAAATACTACTATGTTGGTTTACTTCATAATGTATATTAATTTCATAATGCATTTTCATAAGCGAACAGCGGTCATTGTACCTGCTGACTTAACAATTAGGTAACGGCAATAATATAATAATATAATATTAGCTAACTAATCAATTTGCACCATCAGATGCCATACCGGGTGTATTTACCCTATTACACCTCCCCCCAATAAATAAAAGAATTTTCTTTCTATTGAATGAAAATTCTTCTTCTTATCAGAAAGTAGGTAAAATGTTAAAATGTGTAATACAGCAATAAAATACAACCAATAAAAAAAAAAAATGTAAAAAAAATTTTTACCTTGTTTTTTTCCCAATTAATTAAAAATAATTATTTTCTAGAATCCTTCTTAAAACTTAATGAAATTAAAAAAAAATACACCTAATAAGCATACAATACTGGTACTAGGGGCCCCATAATAAAATACCTAACAATTACATAATATTTCCTAACTCTTAACTACATAATATAGATTTTTGTCCTGTTCTTATGAACGATAATTTCTTTATTATTTTTCACAATTTTTACATTAGGGGACAAATCCTCTATTACTAAATATGGTCCCAAAAAACAGGGACTGGAGATCTTATCTCCCGTCTCATTTTTAACTAAGACCATATCTCCTTTTTTGTAAGAAATAGGGTTTGAAGTTTTATCATAATTTTGTTTTCGCTTCAATTTGGAATGAATTAAATTTTTTCTCGCATCATCGTTTGCCTTTTGTAATCTGTATTTCAGCTCTAAAGGGTAGTTGTCAAAATTATTTATAGGATCGATGGTATTGAGTGCACTGTGGTATTGTAAGAAAAACTCCAATATGGAATCCACTCGCTCCAAGCAGCATTGTTATCAGATGCTTGGGTTCGGAGGAATGCTCCTAAGACTTTATGTGAATTTTCCAGTGCGCCTATACTTTCGTGATGATAGGCAGTTGATTGAAGATGATTTATTTTCAAGATTTTCGCAATTTCGGCCATAGTAGAAGAGATAAATTCGGTACCCCTATCACACTGAAAAAACTTAGCTATAAATATGACTGCAACTTCTTTATAATAAAGTAGTTGGAACTTCGGATATGAGGTAAGTTATGGGTCTTTACTATGAAGACGTGTTGCAGTTGAAATTCTCAAAGTAACTTGAGCTTATCTTAATTCCATTGAGAGCTTAAGATAACATCATCTTGCATTAATAGTCAAGTCATCCTGACTTTCTTAAAAATATACCCGCATTTTCTATTGATACTGAAGATTTAGCATGTATTTCTGGAAACTTTATGATATAAATCAGCGCTACATAGATGTTAACTCATAATAAAAGTTGTGACTTTATTAATAAGGCATGGTATTTTCAATTTAATACCTTCCTAACTTGTGCATATTCTGGAGCTTTGGATGTTGAATGATACACAAATAATATTTTTTTATAGTTTTATTACAAAAAATGCAAAAATAACAACATAAATTTATCACCTTCTTAAATAATAACTAAACAACATTTTCTGAAAAACTTCAAAAAAAAAAGAAAATAAAGAAAGGTATAAGGAAAAATAATAACATAAATTTATCACCTTCTTAAATAATAACTAAACAACATTTTCTGAAAAACTTTAAAACAAAAAGAAAATAAAGAAAGGTACAAGCAAAAATAACAACATAAATTTATCATCTTTTAAATAATAACTCAACAACATTTTCTAAAAAACTATAATAAGAATAAACAAAGGTAGGTAACTCTAAACCTAAACTTTCACAAATCTTGTTTAAAAGAGTGAATTGCTTTTTTGTTTCCAGCAATTTTATGTGGAGCTGTAGGATACGAACAATGTATTTGATGCAACTCTATACTTTTAAACGATTCAAACGTTTCATCAACTATATAACCATAAATATCAGTATTGAAGGTATTGGTCATTAATAAATTATAAATAAATATAATACCTCTAGGTGGCGTAAATATAATAAATCTTATTAAGCCAAATACAGGATCGCCGAATTCATCTCTATTTATCTGAATACACATATTTTTCGAAAATTTAATTCCATTGCGTTTGAACCATGAAATTAGAAAGCTTTCGTGCGTTACATTGTTTTCAATTAAGCTAATGTCAAAGTCTTCAATTTCGGAAATATGGCTCTCCATGGCTCCAATAGTCAACTCGTCATCAAACCCTTTTTTGGATAATAATCTATATGATAGTTTCAACTGATGCCGAATAGCTAGAGTATAAATAATATTCCGCCTATTAAAAACAACATGAGCGTTGGTTTTGGCAATTTTATGAAATGCCTCGTATCTTATTGATGATAAGTAACATAAGGGACCAACTTCTGAAATTATTCGTGGATAGTGAAGAAGCCAGTGATGTTTCATTTTCAGATTATCATTAAACAATAATATGTACTGCTCGTGATGCTCTTTAATTAGTAGCCCTAGAAATGAAAGTTGTTCCTTATTTACAATTGGCTTAATTATTATGTGAATAATCTGAATGAGGGTGTAATAAAAATGCCAATATTCATCCTGAGGATCGACGAAGTCCCCTACCAAAAAACCAAAATATGCTACAAATGCAGACATTTCTGATGATGACATAATTATATGACGTTTGGCAATATGTTTATCATTTATTAAAGGAATTCGATTACCAATGTCACATTCTCTGTGGCCAAAATATTTAATTCGCTTGTTCAACTGTTCGAGTGTAAAATATTTTTTCTCATAAATAAGGGAGTACAAAATATGGCCCATATCGTACCGACAGATACCCTCATATAAATCATGCATAATATCAAATGATATATTTTCAATATTATGGTAGTTTGATAATTGATTCCAAAAGCACCATTCCCTTACACCATGGGCTTTATTTCTAACATCTTCATTGTAGTTCAATTCGTTTCTCAAAAGTTCAGTATTTTCCAATGACAATTTTTTACACATAGTTTTATCACATAAACATACCCTGCAGGAGAACTCTCCTGAAAAACTTTCTGAAAAACCAGTCATTGCGTGAATACCCAAGTTATCACCTATCAGCAAAAACAATGAAAAATACACCAATACTGACTTCCCCTCATACTCAACTTTTATACCATTTTTTTCTAAAAAAGTAAGTTTATCTATAAATGGTTTAAGAACAAATTTATTGCCATATTTAACCCTATCTGAAGAAAAAAAAAGCCCAAAGAGAAAAATGTTATCTAGTAATGAAGCAAACTTTGGGGGAACTCCCCCAATTGAAAAATAAATAGCTCCAATTTTGTGAACACCAGCTTGTGTACCAAGGGGATTACCTGGTTCATAATCATCAAAATACACCAGTAGAGGCAAAAGTAATTTATCCTGGTTGATATTTTTTATTTTACGCCACAAATTTCCATTAAAAAGGGATGAAATTATGTCTGGTGATCTACGAGTTTCACTGTCTATGTGATATATTATGCTTTCAAGAATATTCGGAAGCTCTAAAAACTGTTTTAGAACCTCCAAAATATTGATAATTTGCCCCTCGCATTTTTTAATTGACAGAATAACATCTTTATCGTTTTGATTATCATCAAACTCTTCTCCAATCAAAAATGGAAGTGGCTTTATTAGGCTCTTTTGGTTTTCAAAATATTTAAATCGTTTATGTTCAGATATAAACGCATTGATTGAAAAGTTTGCCAAGAAAATATTGAACTCATGAACTGCATCTTCTTTTATAAATTTCAATTCAGTTGCAGTACATTTTATGTTAGTAATTATATCCTGAATTAATTCCGAACTATTTTCTACAACCTCTTGTATAGTTTTTCTCGTTATGGTGTTATTATTATATAATTTTGCAGTGAAATTTAAAATTGAATCTTCAAAATTATTAGTGGGTTGATAGTTTTTTATTGAATCTTGACAATCAGATTGAATTTCACATTCTTGGGAAATCTCATTCAGAGATATTGCAGAGACAGACGGGACATCTTTATCAATATTATCAAAAATCGGATAGTCGTAAATTTTCTGTGCATCATGTATATTTTTTAGGTGTTTTCTTAAGTTGTATATATTGTCAAATAATCTAAAACATATTCCACAAGATTTTTTCTCTAATAGCTTATGTATCCATTTTATATGTAAAAGGTAAGTTTCAGAATTTGGTAACACTTTATCACACTGGTTGCATAAATACATTGTTTAACTTATCAAAATTCAAAATCAAGATTTCTATTTATTTATTCTAGTTTAACAAAAAAGCAATTTGAAACTTTTATGACCCAAATAATTAATTATTCAATAACAATTGTATATCTAATATGTACAATTTGAAAAAAACTTCAAAATTTTTCACTTATTTTTTGATAGTATTTCTATTTTGTTCGCTATATCCATAATAAAGGGAATCTTATGGTCAAAATCTGTTAGCTCTATGTTGTAAACACACATCTGAATAAACAACCAAATGTGTTCGCCTTCAAATGGATATTTCAAATGCAATACATGGAAGATATTAAAACAGGTATCAATTCCCTTTAAAACTGAAGGCACCTTATAAATAGTATTATGCACACTTACATGAACGGATTTCACAGTGGTTTCCTCTAGTTCTACAATCAAAAATGGCTGCAAAGTCAATTTTCTTTCAGAACATTTTGCTCTACGATTCTCCACAGTCAACTCCACGTCTGCTGGCAACTAAAAATAAATATCTTAGAGCAAGAACATTTCTATTTAAAAAAATTATACCGTCACAGCCACAATAATGCTTTCTCTGCATTCAGAAACTTGCGGTTTCCATTGAAATGGTTTTCCAGATTTGTTTTTTATTGTTAGTCTGCTCTTATTAGGCAGCAAGGACGGGAGCAGTAACAAATGAAGATAATGACGATAGTCTGGAAAAAGTGGCATGTTTATTATCTAGACATTTTTAATCTTGTTACTTAAGATGTTAATAATATCAAGGTACTCACCAGAATTTACACTATTGGATTGAGCTAAATTTTTTAATACAGCTTCATATTCACGTAATGTGTTACCTCTAAGTTCTAAAAGTTTAGAAAACTTTTCTTCCCAATTAGCAAAAAGTGAAGATTGTTTATTGGTGAACAGACGTTCAAAATCTCTATTTATCTAAAATAAATAGTGTTATTAATACGACGTATTTTTTTCTGAGCATTATAGCTTGAAAACTGATTCTGGATTCTATAGGCATGACATAGCACACACAAATCACAAACCAATCAGAGTAAATTTCATTGGTTAAAACTAGTTTTCTGGCTGTTTCTGATTGTTTTCAACCAATGAAATTCGCTTTGACTGGTTTGTGATTTCTGTGCGAACAGACTTTATCATAGGTATATAAGTCTGTTCGCACAGAAATCAGAAACCTATATAATTATGTATATTGTTTATCCACAATCTGAAGTCCGAAAGTAAAGGTAAGATTTATCAACTTTCAGTAGTATTGGATAGGGAAAGTTGATGAATCTACGTTTACCTTTGGACTTCGGATTGTGAATAGACTTTACTCACAAGTGTGTAGCCCTTATTTAAATTCAAAATTGGCCATTTCAGAAATACGTCTTCAATGGTAACATTTGGAGAATTTAGCCATTTTTGTCTTAAGTCATGGGAACTATCCCAATGAGTTATAACGTCATTCCAGGGCTCAATGTTATTTCGAAGCCAGTTTTCATGAACTTTGTTGTCATCATCAGTGTCGTCATTATTATTTTTGTCTAAAATATCGTATAGAATAAATATTGGGGAACTAAAATGCAAAATTTTAAATGTATTACCTGATTCAGATTCCGAAAAGGTTATATCGTTCTTCCCACTTCGAATTTTGGGAAGTAAATTAGACGATATCAGAAAACTAACAGTATTTTTATACCTATCCACCAGTTTTCCTCTGGATTTTTCGGACTTGCCACGTTTAGAGTTACAAACCTTTACTGGAGGCACAAAATAGACAATTTCCTTTTCGTTTGGAAAAAGTTTATTGATGCAAACAGCTAGGTATTTAAAATCGTCATTCTGAAGTCTTCTACAAAATTATAAATCGTTTTATTAGAAAAGCAAAGTACATTTCAACAGTTTCTTTTGTAAATAAAAAAATTACTTACTGGAACTGTTCATTCCTCAGAAAATGGGACGTAATTAGTTCCACCAGGTAACTTTGACATCTAGTGTCTAGAAATTCTTTTTCCCTATATGTATTTATTATCGCCTTGCCTACGAGTGTCGACTCAAGCAACTCTTTCAAATTGAAGTTGCCGACAGAACATTTTATTTTGTGTTCTCCAGAAATTTGCCTATCACCCTGAACGGATCTTTTTGGTGTTGAAGTTGAAGCAACACTGATTGATGAATCCGGATTTTTTTCAATGAGGCTTAGGCTGTGGGAATTCAATTTACAAATTATATAAATGAATTAATCATAAATGAATAAACATATGGGTAAAAACTTACACTGGACTATGAGTGTCATAATTATTATCATCTTCTTTGAAACACTCGCGGAAATTATTGCTAATATTTGATGTGTTTTCGGTGGTTGTCAAAATGGAATATGTTTTGCCTTCAATGTCTACTAGTTCAATCTAGAACATTACAGAATAAAATGAAGCGATTGACGTACGTACTTTTATTCAAAATTCAAATACTCACCACTGATGCTTCATCTTGCTGTAACGGAAAGGTGGAAATATTGAGTGTTCCATCAATGATCGGAAGACTGGAAGAAAGATTTTTTTTTCTATGCGTTGTTTTTCCTTAATTTCCGCCAATTTTCGTACCAGTATAAATCTTTCCCCCAATTTCGGTACTAATTTCGCAATGGCGTCGGCGTCGAGACATAACAAAATTTCTGGGGTAATTGCTTCTTCTAAAATACCAAAGAAAAAATACAAAGTAAAGTACTCATAATTTAAGTAAGGATTCTATTTATAATGCTACAAACTGCAATTTAATATCACAGTTTGAAGCTTACATTATGTTAAGGGCAATTTCTTCACTATTAAGTAACAAAGAATGAATATCGTGGAAGGCAAAACGATGCTCATTATGGGATGAATTCTAAATGATTTTTCAGGTTAACAACAACTATTATCTTCTGTTAATGATTATTAATTATACTAATGGCCTAATGCACATATACCTACCTAAAATAAAATGTAAATTATTATAATATATAAGGACTTACCTTCAAAATTTCCTAAATGATGGCCTAGGCCTACCTCTTCGAGTAATTCCTTGCAGGCCATTTTTATTTCTATATATTTAAAACACAAACCGCACGCGAAGGGCAAAAAAAAGATTGATACTGATAGGCTGATAGCAACGCTGATAGATAGACTTTGCTGATAGTTTTTCAGGTTTTTGTTAGAAGACGTTGTGCGGTATTATAGATAGGTATACCTTGTCGATGTGCCAACATCGATACAACGAAACGCTGAAGCCAATGTTAAGATGTCGCTGAAGTTAGCATCAGATTCAGAAATGAAAATCATGTTTTTACAGTCGACCAAATAAGTAGTGCAACAAATAAAATAAATCAAAAAATCTATTCTAAAAGATTCTGTAACATCATCAAACTTGGTGGAAATAATACTGGGGGTGATGTACGTCACATACTAAAAAATCATTTGTCCAGGGAGGAGTTAAAGGGGGTAAATTCCGCCCCAAAAAGGTAAATGAGATCAGGTATCGCCAAAATTGGAAGCACCACCAAAGTTGATAGAAATATTGCTTGAACAGATACGAGGGACATATCAAAAAAGCACATGTTTATCTCGGGGTTGAAGGGGGGAAATTCAACCCCAAAGTTGACGAAAAAACTAAACTTCGTTGAAAAATTTTGTAGCAGTTTCAAACTTGGTCCAATTATTGTTTGGACACATACGAGTAAAATATCAAAAAAGCACATGTTTATCTCGGGGTTGAAGGGGGGGAATTCAACCCCAAAGTTGACGAAAAAAATCAAACTTTTTAAAAAATTTTGTAGCAGTTTCAAAGTTGGTCCAATTATTGTTTGGACAGATACGAGTAAAATGCCAAAAAAGCACATGTTATCTCGGGGATGAAGGGGGGGAAATTCAACCCCAAAGTTGACGAAAAAACCAAACTTCGTTGAAAAATTTTGTAGCAGTTTCAAACTTGGTCCAATTATTGTTTGGACACATACGAGTAAAATATCAAAAAAGCACATGTTTATCTCGGGGATGAAGGGGGGAAATTCAACCCCAAAGTTGACGAAAAAAATCAAACTTCTTTGAAAAATTTTGTAGCAGTTTCAAAGTTGTTCCAATTATTGTTTGGACACATACGAGTAAAATATCAAAAAAGCACATGTTTATCTCGGGGTTGAAGGGGGGAAATTCAACCCCAAAGTTGACGAAAAAACTAAACTTCGTTGAAAAATTTTGTAGCAGTTTCAAACTTGGTCCAATTATTGTTTGGACACATACGAGTAAAATATCAAAAAAGCACATGTTTATCTCGGGGTTGAAGGGGGGGAATTCAACCCCAAAGTTGACGAAAAAAATCAAACTTTTTAAAAAATTTTGTAGCAGTTTCAAAGTTGGTCCAATTATTGTTTGGACAGATACGAGTAAAATGCCAAAAAAGCACATGTTATCTCGGGGATGAAGTGGGGGAAATTCAACCCCAAAGTTGACGAAAAAACCAAACTTCGTTGAAAAATTTTGTAGCAGTTTCAAACTTGGTCCAATTATTGTTTGGACACATACGAGTAAAATATCAAAAAAGCACATGTTTATCTCGGGGATGAAGGGGGGAAATTCAACCCCAAAGTTGACGAAAAAAATCAAACTTCTTTGAAAAATTTTGTAGCAGTTTCAAAGTTGTTCCAATTATTGTTTGGACACATACGAGTAAAATATCAAAAAAGCACATGTTTATCTCGGGGTTGAAGGGGGGAAATTCAACCCCAAAGTTGACGAAAAAAATCAAACTTCTTTGAAAAATTTTGTAGCAGTTTCAAAGTTGGTCCAATTATTGTTTGGACAGATACGAGTAAAATACCAAAAAAGCACATGTTTATCTCGGGGATGAAGGGGGGAAATTCAACCCCAAAGTTGACGAAAAAAATCAAACTTCTTTGAAAAATTTTGTAGCAGTTTCAAAGTTGGTCCAATTATTGTTTGGACAGATACGAGTAAAATATCAAAAAAGCACATGTTTATCTCGGGGATGAAGGGGGGAAATTCAACCCCAAAGTTGACGAAAAAAATCAAACTTCTTTGAAAAATTTTGTAGCAGTTTCAAAGTTGTTCCAATTATTGTTTGGACACATACGAGTAAAATATCAAAAAAGCACATGTTTATCTCGGGGTTGAAGGGGGGAAATTCAACCCCAAAGTTGACGAAAAAAATCAAACTTCTTTGAAAAATTTTGTAGCAGTTTCAAAGTTGGTCCAATTATTGTTTGGACAGATACGAGTAAAATACCAAAAAAGCACATGTTTATCTCGGGGATGAAGGGGGGAAATTCAACCCCAAAGTTGACGAAAAAAATCAAACTTCTTTGAAAAATTTTGTAGCAGTTTCAAAGTTGGTCCAATTATTATTTGGAGAGATACGAGTAAAATATCAAAAAAGCACATGTTTATCTCGGGGATGAAGGGGGGAAATTCAACCCCAAAGTTGACGAAAAAAATCAAACTTCTTTGAAAAATTTTGTAGCAGTTTCAAGGTTGGTCCAATTATTGTTTGGACACATACGAGTAAAATATCAAAAAAGCACATGTTTATCTCGGGGACGAAGGGGGGAAATTCAACCCCAAAGTAGACGAAAAAACCAAACTTCGTTGAAAAATTTTGTAGCAGTTTCAAAGTTGGTCCAATTATTGTTTGGACACATACGAGTAAAATATCAAAAAAGCACATGTTTATCTCGGGGATGAAGGGGGGAAATTCAACCCCAAAGTTGACGAAAAAAATCAAACTTCTTTGAAAAATTTTGTAGCAGTTTCAAAGTTGTTCCAATTATTGTTTGGACACATACGAGTAAAATATCAAAAAAGCACATGTTTATCTCGGGGTTGAAGGGGGGAAATTCAACCCCAAAGTTGACGAAAAAAATCAAACTTCTTTGAAAAATTTTGTAGCAGTTTCAAAGTTGGTCCAATTATTGTTTGGACAGATACGAGTAAAATACCAAAAAAGCACATGTTTATCTCGGGGATGAAGGGGGGAAATTCAACCCCAAAGTTGACGAAAAAAATCAAACTTCTTTGAAAAATTTTGTAGCAGTTTCAAAGTTGGTCCAATTATTGTTTGGACAGATACGAGTAAAATATCAAAAAAGCACATGTTTATCTCGGGGATGAAGGGGGGAAATTCAACCCCAAAGTTGACGAAAAAAATCAAACTTCTTTGAAAAATTTTGTAGCAGTTTCAAAGTTGTTCCAATTATTGTTTGGACACATACGAGTAAAATATCAAAAAAGCACATGTTTATCTCGGGGTTGAAGGGGGGAAATTCAACCCCAAAGTTGACGAAAAAAATCAAACTTCTTTGAAAAATTTTGTAGCAGTTTCAAAGTTGGTCCAATTATTGTTTGGACAGATACGAGTAAAATACCAAAAAAGCACATGTTTATCTCGGGGATGAAGGGGGGAAAGTCAACCCCAAAGTTGACGAAAAAAATCAAACTTCTCTGAAAAATTTTGTAGCAGTTTCAAAGTTGGTCCAATTATTGTTTGGACAGATACGAGTAAAATATCAAAAAAGCACATGTTTATCTCGGGGATGAAGGGGGGAAATTCAACCCCAAAGTTGACGAAAAAAATCAAACTTCTTTGAAAAATTTTGTAGCAGTTTCAAAGTTGGTCCAATTATTGTTTGGACAGATACGAATAAAATATCAAAAAAGCACATGTTTATCTCGGGGATGAAGGGGGGAAATTCAACCCCAAAGTTGACGAAAAAAATCAAACTTCTTTGAAAAATTTTGTAGCAGTTTCAAGGTTGGTCCAATTATTGTTTGGACACATACGAGTAAAATATCAAAAAAGCACATGTTTATCTCGGGGATGAAGGGGGGAAATTCAACCCCAAAGTTGACGAAAAAAATCAAACTTCTTTGAAAAATTTTGTAGCAGTTTCAAAGTTGGTCCAATTATTGTTTGGACACATACGAGTAAAATATCAAAAAAGCACATGTTTATCTCGGGGACGAAGGGGGGAAATTCAACCCCAAAGTCGACGAAAAAACCAAACTTCGTTGAAAAATTTTGTAGCAGTTTCAAAGTTGGTCCAATTATTGTTTGGACACATACGAGTAAAATATCAAAAAAGCACATGTTTATCTCGGGGATGAAGGGGGGAAATTCAACCCCAAAGTTGACGAAAAAAATCAAACTTCTTTGAAAAATTTTGTAGCAGTTTCAAAGTTGGTCCAATTATTGTTTGGACAGATACGAGTAAAATATCAAAAAAGCACATGTTTATCTCGGGGTTGAAGGGGGGAAATTCAACCCCAAAGTTGACGAAAAAAATCAAACTTCTTTGAAAAATTTTGTAGCAGTTTCAAAGTTAGTCCAATTATTATTTGGAGAGATACGAGTAAAATATCAAAAAAGCACATGTTTATCTCGGGGATGAAGGGGGGAAATTCAACCCCAAAGTTGACGAAAAAAATCAAACTTCTTTGAAAAATTTTGTAGCAGTTTCAAGGTTGGTCCAATTATTGTTTGGACACATACGAGTAAAATATCAAAAAAGCACATGTTTATCTCGGGGATGAAGGGGGGAAATTCAACCCCAAAGTTGACGAAAAAAATCAAACTTCTTTGAAAAATTTTGTAGCAGTTTCAAGGTTGGTCCAATTATTGTTTGGACACATACGAGTAAAATATCAAAAAAGCACATGTTTATCTCGGGGATGAAGGGGGGAAATTCAACCCCAAAGTTGACGAAAAAAATCAAACTTCTTTGAAAAATTTTGTAGCAGTTTCAAGGTTGGTCCAATTATTGTTTGGACACATACGAGTAAAATATCAAAAAAGCACATGTTTATCTCGGGGATGAAGGGGGGAAATTCAACCCCAAATTAGACGAAAAAACCAAACTTCGTTGAAAAATTTTGTAGCAGTTTCAAAGTTGGTCCAATTATTGTTTGGACACATACGAGTAAAATATCAAAAAAGCACATGTTTATCTCGGGGATGAAGGGGGGAAATTCAACCCCAAAGTTGACGAAAAAAATCAAACTTCTTTGAAAAATTTTGTAGCAGTTTCAAAGTTGGTCCAATTATTGTTTGGACAGATACGAGTAAAATATCAAAAAAGCACATGTTTATCTCGGGGTTGAAGGGGGGAAATTCAACCCCAAAGTTGACGAAAAAAATCAAACTTCTTTGAAAAATTTTGTAGCAGTTTCAAAGTTGGTCCAATTATTGTTTGGACAGATACGAGTAAAATACCAAAAAAGCACATGTTTATCTCGGGGATGAAGGGGGGAAATTCAACCCCAAAGTTGACGAAAAAAATCAAACTTCTTTGAAAAATTTTGTAGCAGTTTCAAAGTTGGTCCAATTATTGTTTGGACAGATACGAGTAAAATATCAAAAAAGCACATGTTTATCTCGGGGATGAAGGGGGGAAATTCAACCCCAAAGTTGACGAAAAAAATCAAACTTCTTTGAAAAATTTTGTAGCAGTTTCAAGGTTGGTCCAATTATTGTTTGGACACATACGAGTAAAATATCAAAAAAGCACATGTTTATCTCGGGGATGAAGGGGGGAAATTCAACCCCAAATTTGACGAAAAAAATCAAACTTCTTTGAAAAATTTTGTAGCAGTTTCAAGGTTGGTCCAATTATTGTTTGGACACATACGAGTAAAATATCAAAAAAGCACATGTTTATCTCGGGGTTGAAGGGGGGAAATTCAACCCCAAAGTTGACGAAAAAAATCAAACTTCTTTGAAAAATTTTGTAGCAGTTTCAAAGTTGGTCCAATTATTGTTTGGACAGATACGAGTAAAATACCAAAAAAGCACATGTTTATCTCGGGGATGAAGGGGGTAAATTCAACCCCAAAGTTGACGAAAAAAATCAAACTTCTTTGAAAAATTTTGTAGCAGTTTCAAAGTTGGTCCAATTATTGTTTGGACAGATACGAGTAAAATATCAAAAAAAGCACATGTTTATCTCGGGGATGAAGGGGGGAAATTCAACCCCAAAGTTGACGAAAAAAATCAAACTTCTTTGAAAAATTTTGTAGCAGTTTCAAGGTTGGTCCAATTATTGTTTGGACACATACGAGTAAAATATCAAAAAAGCACATGTTTATCTCGGGGATGAAGGGGGGAAATTCAACCCCAAAGTTGACGAAAAAAATCAAACTTCTTTGAAAAATTTTGTAGCAGTTTCAAAGTTGGTCCAAGTATTGTTTGGACACATACGAGTAAAATATCAAAAAAGCACATGTTTATCTCGGGGACGAAGGGGGGAAATTCAACCCCAAAGTCGACGAAAAAAAAAAACTTCTTTAAAAAATGAGGTCACATTTTTCCAAAAGAGATTTACCTCCTAGGTTTTTGTTCAGAAAAGTTTGCAATAATAGTTATTTATGCAACAAGTGCGTAAAGTGAACCTTTTTTCACGAATGTGAATTTTGACGACACATGATCACATGAGTAAAAAAAGGTGTTTTTTGCACGTATTGCATACAAAAAAATTTCTACTACCAATCAAATATGTGTAAAAAAATTGGTTTAGGCACATATTTTACGCACTAGTGCGTGAAGTATTTTCACTCTACGCATTAGTGCGTGAAATAATTTACCAGAAAAATACTAAATTGAGTGTCAACATTTACTTTACGCATTAGTTTGTGAAATGGATTTTCACGACTTCTGAACAGTGCGTAAAGTGAGTACTTTACACACAGTAGTAGGAAAAAATTAATTTTTCTCTTTTATAATTAGTTTTCGCAACACGTTATAATGCGTCTATAATTCATCGTAATTTTATTTTAGCCAGTTGATCAGGTATCTTTTAGGTAGAAGAAAATTTTTAATATTTTTGCAAATCGTTAAGAATAAACTCAGCTCACTTTGAGAAAAGGGGAAGAAAGGTCTAAAAAGGTCGGTAACTCATTTCCATTTTACGATCTTACTCAAAATTAATAAATGTCGGTAAAGTGGCAGGTAGGTACTTCGTCATGGTTAACAGTACAAAGGTACATATCTTTTTTAGTTAGTGTTTATTGAACATCGTTTTGTAGTGTCAACTGAGAGAGTAACATTTTGGAGTGTTCCATGTTCTATACACCACAAGTAAGAATTATGTGGATATTTTTGCCCATTTTTTCACCGCTATTTTCTGAATATTGTTTCTACTGGAGAAGATTGGGTGTAACAAAGTTTTGACTATTTTTGGTTCGCTTCAAAAACTGTTGTTTTTTTGTTTTTCATCTTATTTAATAAGTGATTACAGAACAATTTTTGTTCGCTTTAAAAAGTTTTTGTTATAGTTTTTGATCTTTAAGTGAGTACGTATATTTTTTCAATTGAGGTGTTATGTACAAACATTTTGATAATTTTTGTTCTCTCTAAAAGTTTTTTGTTTGTTTTGAACTTATGTAATAAATAAGTCAGAGTATATGTACTCAGAATCCGGATATTTTTTCAGTTGAGATATTATGAGGTGGTATATGTACAAACATTTCGACAATTTTTGTTATCTTTATTAGTTTTTGTTTATTTTTGAACTTATATTTAATACGTACCTAAGTCAAAGTATGTACCTACCCAGAATCCGGTTATTTTTCCATTTAAGGTGTTATGAGGTGTTATGTAGGTACAAACAATTTGACAATTTTTGTTATCTTTAAAAGTTTTTGTTTGTTCTTGAACTTATCTAATAAGTAAGTCAAAGTATGTACCTACCCAGAATCCAATTATTTTTCAGTTGAGGTGTTATGAGGTGTGATGTACAAACAATTTGACAATTTTTGTTATCTTTGAAGTTTTTGTTTGTTTTTGAACTTATCAAATAAGTAAGTCAATGTATCTATGTACCTATCCAGAATCCGGATATTTTTCCAGTTCACGTGTTTTGAGGTATGTACCAACAATTCAACAATTTTTGTTATCCTTAAAGTTTTTTTTTTTATTTTTGAACTTATCAAATAAGTAAGTCAATGTATCTATGTACCTATCCAGAATCCGGATATTTTTCCAGTTCAGGTGTTTTGAGGTATGTGCCAACAATTCAACAATTTTTGTTATCTTTAAAGTTTTTGTTTGTTTTTGAACTTATCAAATAAGTAAGTCAATGTATTTATGTACCCATCCAGAATCTGGATATTTTTCCAGTTCAGGTGTTTTGAGGTATGTACCAACAATTCAACATTTTTTGTTATCTTTAAAAGTTTTTGTTTGTTTTGAACTTATCTAATAAGTGAGAGTAAAAGTAAATACCCAGAAACCGGATATTTTTTCATTTGACGTGTTATGAGATGCTCTCTTTAAAAGTTTTTTTTTTTACCCGCAATCCGGATAATTTGTATGTTTTCACATTTGATTAACAGACACTTTGCTATAACGCACGAAACAGCCGTTTATTTTATAATTTTGGAATATTAATTTTTTTGCGTTTTTGAGAACAGTTTTTTAGAAATTGATTCCAGAAAAAGATATTCATACTAAATTTGAATTGGATATTAGATTCGCAAGTGTTTCTGCTTTTGCCTTATCTAAAACACGAATATTTTTTTTTTTACATTTACCTTTTCATAATATACCATTTAGTTTATATGTTATTATTTTCTGATACTTTTTTTTCAATATCATATTAAGAATAAAAAAAAAAAATCTGGTCAAGTGAAACTGCATACTAGATCTATTTACTTGTATATAAAATAGCTTCATTGACATTATGCCGCGACTTGCAGGGAGACCAAAACGAGAAAGCAAAGAATTGCAATTGAAAAAAATTGTCGATTTCCTTTTGCATAGGAAAATTATTAACATTGAATCATTAAAATGTTGCCGGATGCTAGACGCATGTGCATTAGGCGACATGTGTACTTTTTTAAAATTGAAAAACAATTATAAAAATAGGCTAATGCTTTATGTGCAAATCAAAAGGAATCAATTATTCATTTCTAAGTTTGCCAATGTTCAATTTGAAGACCTAACAATTGATAAGGAAACGTTAACGGATAGAAATGAGATAGTGGCAAAAGATCGGCAAAATGAGGAGATAGAAATTCTACTGCCCGGAAAAAAAGAAGCCTCAAACTCTCCCAAAAACTCGTTAGATGGCCTGCATTTGAAAAAATTCACATTTTTATTGAAAACTCGAATCGAACGCTATACTAACAATGTTGACCTGTCAGAAGATGCTGAAGCTAGACACGATTTTGGAAGAAAAATATCAGCGCCTATGAAATTACTTGCGTTCTGGCTTTCAAGGGGTATAGAATTAACAAGAAACACCCAACACAAAAAATAATCATAGAATATGCAATTTGCAAACACGAGTTCTGCAAACAATTTAAATTTTCTTACAAAGTTCACGAGAAACAATTGGATGTTTCCTTTTTCCAGAAGGGCGCCAAAGTGACAAACCATAAAGAAGAACATTCGTACCATTTGAAGGGAACTGAGAGAAATATCATCAAAGAAAAATTGAAGCACACCATGCCAAGTAGTTTCCGTAGTCAAGAAATAAACAAATTAGACTCGGATTTATTTTTTGAGGGAAATTGGCAAGGGTTGAGGTCATTAGCGGTCTACCAGAAGGCAAGATCAGAGGCATTTGCTGAAGAGGACATTCATCCTGACCCACTTTTGGATGTCCTCTTAAGATCTTTGAAAGAAAATGAAGAAAACAGATACATTCATTTTCCAAATTGCAAAACACTTGTATACCTGTATTCCAAAGATCAAATAAAAACTTTGGTAAAAAAAGGGCAGAAATTGGATGCATTTTTCGATGCTACTGGTTCTGTAGTCAGATCAACTGGTTACGATCGCGGAAATCGAATTTTGTATTATTCTTTGGTTGTCAATGTAGACGGTATCATAACTCCCATTGCAGAACTTGTAACATCTAACCACAATTCTGCAACACTCACTTCATTCAATTTACATTTTAAACATTTTGTACGAGTGTATTGCCATAAGAAATGGCCCATTTTCAATGTGATTGTAACTGATTGGAGTTTTCCATTAATGACCTCAGTCTGTCAAGGTTTCAACGATGTCACTTTGTACACATACCTACAGTTATCGTATAAATTTGTTACAGATAAGGATGATGCTAGGTTTTTCAATTTAATAAAATTGAAATTATGTTGTTCGCACTTTATTAAAATGATGTGTAATAAACTTTCACAACTTAAACAGGACCGAAAGATCAAGGATAGCATTGTAAGTGCTATAGCAAGTCTTGTTTTATGTACTTCATTCGAGAAATTATTGTCGTATTTCAATCATGTAGCGGTCCTTCTTTTAAGCCCAATGTTCGATGAAGACGTAGACAATGCCATAGATGCTCTTGCAAATCCTTCCACAACAGCACAAGATTTACTCAGTCTTCGCGAAGAAAGCAGTTCCAACATTCTAGATATCGATTTTGAGGAAGATATAGTTCGAGGGCAATACACAACTTCTCCATTTTTCTTGGCATTTTTCAAAATTTATGAGAATGTTTCACAGAATATTGAACTTAAGGAAAATATTGAAAAGGAAGAAAAATTGAGCACCAATCCCTACAAATCATCTGTTTTTTTCAATTACCTTCTGAAGCGCGTTATGCCTTTTGCACCATTATGGTCTGACATAATGCAGTGTGGACGTTATAGCAACTCAAATGTGGAAAGCTGGTTCAAATCAGTGAAACATGAAATTTTGTTAGAAAAAACCAATCTGAAATTGGGACGTTTTATATGTGAAATTCAAAGGAGGATTAAATCAAACCTCGAGACAATAGAACTTTCCATAGGAAAAAAACCACACAAAATTAAAAAAAGAACGATAGATGAAAAAAGCATTAAAAACGCGATGGAAATCGATAATCCGGCTGCAGTAGAAAAATGGAAGAAACCCAAAAAAAGGAAACATTTTTTCACCACAGATTATATGCGTATGAATATTCCCGAAAAATTATCAAAGCCTGCTTCCAATGATTATGCCATCGAAACTAAAACTGAGGGTAACAAATCAGATGAAGATATAAAAGATATAATACATTTGTCAGATTCTAAAGAATCTCTTTCATTCTGCGAATTTGGAAAAGAACATCCGAATCAAATAGAAGTATCAATTTCCACACAGCACGAAGTGCCAGCAAAAGAAAAAAATGAATTACATACACATAGAGAGCAACCCTCAGATATTGCTCTTTCAAACGGCTTACTATTGAGTAATGAATACTATAACGAAGGGTCAAGTAAAGTGTCATTTAAATTTGGTACATATTCCTACTTAGGGCAAACAATCACTTTAACCAGTTCTGACTTTAAAACATTAGCATCGAAATATAACAAAACTCATGTTCAATCAGTGACTGATCGATGGCTTACAGATTATGCAATCGACTGTACATCTTTCAGTATTCTCGCCGACATCAAAAACATTTACTATATCGATACTATTTCTTCATCGCTAATTCTTAATGACAATATGAAATACACAAATCATTCCAAATTTTTGCCATTGGTGAAGCCCTTGGATGGTATCGATATTATTTTACTGCCGTACAATGTATTTGACTGCCACTGGATTTTGATAGTGCTTTACTTGAAAGAAAACAAAATATATATTTTAAATCCAGGAGAAATGATGCCTTCCGAAGAAAAAATATTTAAAAAAATTAAAGTTTTTTTTATGACCAGGGATCGACAAAATAAATATGAAAAATTGAATGCCAGAAAATGGAAGCTAGACCACATTCCATCTTACCCAAAACAAACCGACGGTTATAATTGTGGTGTGTTCGTCATTTACTATATAATGACGTTATCAATTCACCAAAACATAGGCGATTGTTTTTCAATAAGCAACAACAGCCAAGAGCTATTTGATCCAGAGGCATTTAGAATCACAATTCAGAACATTCTTTTAATTTGATCGAAAAATATGTTCCACGTTTGCCTAATCTGCGGCCTGAATACATCGCACATATACATTGAATGTACGATTTGTAAACGTTGGATTCATTTCACTAAATGCTCTGGGCTCCAAGAAGATACGCCTCTGGAAATGGTAGCGGCAGAAAATTACACGTACATCTGCCAACTGTGTCAACAATTGGAAGATCCGTTTAAATATGTCAAAGCAGATCAAGCAATAAAATTAAACATTACGGAATTGGAGTTTTTAATAAAGCATTACAGGGACGTATTAGTGAATATATATGAAAATCGAGAACTTAACCAAGAAAGCTCCAGATACAATACTATAAAGGATGCCTTGAAAAATTTAAAATGGGACTATTTTGTCACATTTATTGACATTGAAACGGCAACTAAAGTCGCAGAAATGATAATAAGGCATACATCAATATCAGATAAAATGTTTGTATGTTTTGTCTTATTGGGATATTTTTTAACAAAGGTTATCAAAAGATATTACGGGCTAAGCGAAAACGGTGATCTAGGCATCTACGAAAAATACAAACAAATATACGGGATAGATGAAACCGATTTTGACTATCCGAGTCCATATACCTTGGATCAAATATATTTCAAACTGAATTAAAATTACGGAAAAATTAACTTAATGAATTAACTGTTTAAGCTATTGATGTATCCAAAATATTGCCAAAGAAACGGGATGGGTTAAAAAAATAAATAATCAAATATACGATTTTGTAAATTTAAGTATGTAGGTACCTACGAAAAATTCCATATTTTTTTTTGTCTGTAAAGAAGAAAATGAAGCTATACGTGCCAAAACCACTTTGGAAGAGCTTTTCCCCATATGAAAATCCTCTCACAAAAAAATTGAAAAATACTGTGTATTACTTTTAGAGCTGTGATTATAGTTATAGTTGTTATATTTGTAAAAAGAGTTTAGAGAGAAGAAATAATAAAAACCAAAGAAAAAAACCACATAGCTACCCATCGTATTGAAATAACGCGTAATAATGAGCGTAGTTCTCGATCATGCAATAATATGTGAATAACACACAGGGGAATTTTTTTAGTCGGTAGGCGGATCACTGGATGGTCTGAATCCGACACACCTGGGCACCTGAACACCCACCATGCCAGGCGTCTTTTGAAGATTTTTTTACCCCTCTAAAAAAAAAAAAAACCTTTTCCACCACAAGATAAACAATGTGCTTTCTTGTACTCGTAGCTCTCCAAATAATAATTGGACCAACTTTGAAACTGCTACAAAATTTTTCAACGAAGTTTGGTTTTTTCGTCAACTTTGGGGTTGAATTTCCCCCCTTCATCCCCGAGATAAACATGTGCTTTTTTGATATTTTACTTGTATCTGTCCAAACAATAATTGGACCAACTTTGAAACTGCTACAAAATTTTTCAAAGAAG